GCTGAACGTCGAAATCCAGACCGAATACACACAAAAGGACCGGATTCGAAAGATTGCAGTAACTGGTCTAAAGCAAAAGTTAAGAAAAGGCAAAAAAAAAAAAACCAGTTCGAAAAGTTTATTGCTTTTTCGTTGATGGTTCGGCAAAGAGCCTTTAAGATTAGTTAGATCTGAAATATGCCCAGAAACTGCTACCTCACGCAAGACTACTTCTACATAAACAGAAGGGGCTACAGAATGCATGAAAATTCGTACCAAATGTCCACTGCACATGTAGTATCATAAAGAATCTGCTCATTCCGTTACAAGAATGTCATAACCGAATGAATCTCTTATTGTCTTGTTCATTGGCAGGGCTGTTGCTGCTGCGCGTCCGTCCCTACAGCGTTGGTCATCGGTCACAACGGCGGCTCTTGGCGGTGTTGCGGGAGGCCGATGACATCTGACCGAAGTACCGTGGTTCACGCCGAACGTCAGCGGGAAATTCGTCACGATCGTTTTGTAGTTTTCGTCATGGAATGGGTTGTTGGCCGAGGACGCAGTCGATGAGTTGCTAGTAGAGAATTCAGCCGACGAGGATGTGCTAGCAGAGTTGAAGTTAACGTAAAGTTCATGGGGGTTCGGCAATGCCTCAGAAGTGTACGGCTGAGTCTCCACCCATACCGGAAGATCCAGAGTCACAGTTTTGTAATCGCTGGGGTCGAAGCTTCGGGATAGCGTGGTTGCAAAGCCTGGACTTGAAAAAGAACCGAACTCTGAAGCGGGACTTCTCGTTTCCAGTGGTGCTGATCTCTTGAGTTTTGGGGTGAAGACCGGAGAAAAGTGGTCGTCCTGTGTTTCCGGTACTTCCAGTGCTTCCAGCTCTCGCTTGCTTGGCAGAGCTGTCGGAATAACGGAACCTGGTGCAGAGTCGGGGCTGTACTTCGACTGTGGAAATGACATCAGGTCCAGCAACGACCCAAGGCTTTTCTTGAGGAAGTTGCTGAATCGTTGAAACTCGGAAACTGCATTCGTTTCGATCTTGCAACCGTCAGAAGCAAAAGGTTGAGTTCTAAACAAAACGAATATTAGAACAGGAACTAGT